CGATGTCTAGCTAATATTGAATTATTATAATTTTTTTTTAATTATGCTTTTGGCTTACCTGGAGAATGTATCTATTAATAAAATTAGCTGTTTTTTAAAACAACAGTTGACCATTGGCCAGAGAGACCAATAATACTCGTCTGGCATGTAACCCATCCTCCTGAACTCCTGGCTTTATTCTGAGGTCAAGTGGTCAGTGTGCTATATTTAGTGGTGCTTGCTAAGACAAGTATCACTGTTACTGTTCCTGATACTTAGGGTTAGTGATTTGAACAAACTGCTAGCTTAAACTTGTAACTTGTCCTACCAAGTCAGTCGTTTCTCTCTCACCATTGTGTGCTGGGACATGTGTGACTCTTGGTTGTACCATGCAGTTTGTGCTTAGTCACTTTGGGCTACAGAAGTAAACAAGTAGTTGTCTACTTGCAAATTCTCCAAGAGGATCTAGCACTCATAGATATTGACAAATTACTAATAGGTCCAGATTATGACTGATGGTCCGAATTCTCTTTTAGATGGATTACTAGCCAACGTCCACAAGTGTTTAATGATGTGAGAGATGTTGGAAATGCCTCGTGTGTTATTGCCACTGTTGATTTACATCACTAAGTGAGAAACGACGGACTTCCGTTTGTAGGACAAGTTACAAGTTTAAGCTAGCAGTAGGGCTGGGCGATATGGCCAAAAAAATTATCACGATGCTATTTTTCATATCAGTCGATAACGATAATTATCATGATAAATGTCAAATCTTTATTTCTTTCAAGTTTAAAGCCAGATTTTTGCTCCACAGTGAAAGTTGTAGAAACCAGGCCATTCATTTTCCTTAACAAAATTTTAGTTTCTGCATGTTCTAAGGAGTTACATTGTTTCAAATCAAGAAACAGATTTGGGTTGCCTGATAATATTAATAATAATAATTAGAGCCCGACCGATATATCGTTTTGCCGATATTATCGGCCGATATGAGCCTGTCGCCGATATATCGGTATCGGCGAATATGCCGCCGATATGAATTTTTTTTTACAGAACATATAACGCAGATCAAATGCTTGAAATGGTGTAATTACTTAGTTTGTCCAGCAGAGCGCGCTCCATTGTTTGCTAC